CGTTGCAGTACCCTCTTCTACTTACTTGCTTAGCAACGCAATGTCAGGCTGATGTAGACCACCGCTTGAGTAGACTGATGCTTTAGGTCCTTGATTGGTACGACCTCTTCTGTACGAGTTTATATCGATCACATCTCCACCCATGCAGCGTGAGCGTTTCCTGGGCGTCCCCTAGCAGTCACCTGAGCGTCCGAATGCGACACATTTTTGGGATGCCCGGGGGACTTTCGTAGAAAAAATTGGCAGCAGCGGTATATAATTTTTCAATTAACTCACAATTATAGACCCCTTAACCCTGAAACGCATGCGATACAGTACTATTTATGTACTTGAACCGCGATCTAAAAAAACTACCCTATTAAGCACTTTCTTACCATTGGGTTGTTTCGCTAACAAAGCTGTCTTACGTACACATAACGTGCAACTCGGTGTTCACAAACTTTACGTATTCGGCAACTCAATCTTCGATTCCATTGAACTCTTCCAACCATATAGAAACAAAATAAGTTAATATGAAAATAATTTTATTAATAAATTTCCAAAGTTAGGATAATACAGATGTCACTAGTCATTCCCGTGTTCAGTGGTGACCGCGTTTGGAAAGTCATCTGTAATGGATGTTCAAAATTCGGATTAGTAAAGTGGTTAACAAAAAATCGCAGAACATTGTAATTTACTCACGGATACACTTACTTGTTGGAAGTTGTTCTGCTGTTATCGAGGAACGACCACGTTGGATCCATCTCTGAATCCTCTCTTTGATGTACCTTATATTTCCATCCCGGAAGTTATGTTGCATCACAGCGCCTGTATGGGTAAATGTTAAAAGAAATTCTATATGGTCACCGATAATAAGATTTGCGATCTTGCTACCGAAGAGAGCTTGTTTTCCATTACCACCCCTCCAGTTGATGCTCGGAAGAAGTTCTTCCGAAATCAATTAAATCGTGTTATGTCCCGGGTGCAATCTCCGGCCCTAGTCGCCTCGGTATTGCACAGCATTTTCATCTACAACAAGCTGACCAAGAAAATTATTGTAGATACCATTAACCAGTAGTTTTCACAGGAGAGTTTGCGTTCCAGTTCGTTGAATTCCGCAAGTGTTCGAACTGATATACTGCAAACCATTAATCCCCTCAATGGTCACCGCTTGCTGGGCAACAGACAGCAAATGTACCTCGTGTTTGATCTCCCTTATATCGGAATGCAAGGCTTGAATGGATTCTGGAAGATATTTGCTACAATTGTGTTCACGACTTACTGATAATCAACTCCATATTTGTTTGGAACGAGGGAGGACTGCAGATCAATGCTATCCTTATTCCTATAATGGCAAAATGGCAAAATGTATTTAGTACACAAGTTAAAGTTACTGCAGCAGGTTCTCCGATGCCTTCTTCTTAGATGTTAATGACATTTTCGGATCGCTTCTAAATTCGTTGAAATTGTAATAAATTATGTACCTGTTGGTCAACGGAGTATTGTAATTGTCCATTTCTCTGAATTGTTTTGAAATGGACATGTCTTCCAAACGAAGTAGGCTTCTGGATTCGTCCGAATCTATTGGACATGGACGCTTAGCATCCATCCCGTCAGACGTGCTATCTGACAATGCCGCTGGCTTACTGTAACCTGAATG